AGAGAAAGTTCAAAAGTTTGCAACATGACTAGTTCCAGAGCTAAGAGGTATGTCCTACGAGGAGAGGTTAAGGGAAATCAACCTGACGACACTGGTGGAGTGGAGAGATAGGGGAGACATGATAACGACATACAAAATACTGAGAAGAATTGACAAGGTGGACAAAGACAGGATGTTCCAGAGACTGGACACAGCAACAAGGGGACACAGTCGGAAGTTGAAGACACAGATGAATCACAGGGATGTTAGGAAGTATTTCTTCAGCCACAGAGTAGTCAGGAAGTGGAATAGTTTGGGAAGCGATGTAGTGGAGGCAGGATCCATACATAGCTTTAAGCAGAGGTATGATAAAGCTCACGGTTCAGGGAGAGTGACCTAGTAGCGACCAGTGAAGAGGCGGGGCCAGGAGCTTGGATTCGACCCCTGCAATCTCAACTAGGTGCGTAGGTGAGCGCGCGCGCGCGCGCCACACACACACACACACACACACACACACACACACACACACACACACACACACACACACACACACACACTCTATGAGGGACAGGACTATTTCAAGAAATAATGAATAAGTGAATGCTCACTTATTAAACAACACAGGAAGGTTAAATATTTATATTAAATATTAAACCACATGTCGATAGTGTGTACGTGTGCACATGTTCTACTGTCTTCAAGTTATGTCCTGGAATTTGTATTGATAAATCCACTGGATGGCGAAACGTCTTCAATAAAGATACCCAGATGCTGCACATGTCTTAATTTCATCTTGTGGGTATTGTATACAATTCTTGTACAACTTGTCAGACACTGCAACATCATGGAATCTTGATTCTGAGGACATGTACATAACCTTCACGACTACGACAACTACTTCTACAACTAACCCATCTCTTTGGGTAGGACCTACTTCCGCTGGGGAATCCCGCCTACCAGTGACTATGCCCTCGTCTGCTATACGTCCCATTCCACCTGACGTTAGTATATAAGCGCCAGGCTCCTTGCTTCTGCTTCAGAATCTCCACGACTACGGTGCTCCTCGCACCCAAATCCAAGGTTGAGGGACTGATTACCATTTCTGTACTTAGTTCTACGGTTTTAAAATTTGTTCGGGAATTTTGTATTGATAAACCCACTGGATGGGGGAATTTCCAAAATTTAAAGATACACGATGTTGCAAATGTGCCCAAATTTTAACGTGTCCCACATTTTTGGAAACACTTTTTCAAAGGGATTTTTTTGAATGCTGATTTCCTTTCCCCACCTGTTTTAAAAAAATTCGCTTGTATTCAACTGAAGAAAAATTGCGCGCACCCAAAAAACATTGGGATTAGAAATGACCTCCAAGTGTTGGAAATATGTTTGATTAAACCACCCTGTCAGTATTGTATATAAAGTAATGATTTCCCAACCCCCTTCGCAAAACGGCCTTACTTACACTCCCTGGTCAGAAAGGGGGAAAGGGGGGGGGGCCCGATACTTGTCAGTAGTGTTTTAATTATCAAAAATTTAATGAACCTGTATGAAAAGCAACTCGATTTTTTTGGTCCAGGAAAGTATTCTGCAGCCCTTTGCTAAACAAACGATAGTGCAAGATCTCTAGGGGGGACACATGCAGTATGACGGTATTTCCCAAGATGTTTTTGAAAACCTTTTTCCCAATTTCACCAATTTTAAAAAGGTCTGGTGGGGAGTGGCCACTGGATTACTTATGTTGTTTCCACATATTCCCCTGTAATAAACCGAAAAAAGGCCTGCAGGCAGGGCCAAAAACCAAATGTTGCACATGAGTTTTTATTCATTAGCTTGTCGGTACTGTATTCCTTTAATATTGTGACACACCCTGTTTTTGACACACCCAAACCCCGTGTTACATTGCTGCAGGGGAAGGGCTTCTAGGGAGGCCACGTCCCCTGGGGTTTTCTATCTCCCGCTTCTACTCCCCAATTCTACTCTAATATTGATTTTGGGCCCCATTTTCCCCTGAAGGGGCTAACCCACCTATCAAGACTGAGGGAATACTTTCTTCAGAAAATTTTCTTTGCTTTCTACAGGGTTTTTTGCCGAAAAACGATTTGTAGCCATCTTGATTGGCACAGATTGATTTAAAGAATCTCAACACGGTTTTACAAAGGGGCGTTCCTGTCTTACGAATTTACTAACATTTTTCTCTAAGATGTTTGAGGAGGTAGATCACGGTAATGAATATGATATTGTGTATATGGACTTCAGTAAGGCTTTCGATAGAGTTCCACATCAGAGGCTATTGAGGAAACTTAAGGCACACGGAATAGGAGAAATTTTTTCCTGGGTAGAGGCACGGCTGACAAATAGGCAGCAGAGAGTTTGCATAAATGGGGAGAAATCAGAATGGGGGCACGTCACAAGCGGTGTTCCTCAGGGGCCAGTGTTGGGCCCGTTGTTGTTCACAATTTACATAAACGACATAGATGAGGGAATAAATAGTGACATAAGCAAATTTGCTGATGGCACCAAAATAGGCCGTCCAATTCAATCTAATGAGGACATTAGAGCACTCCAGGATGATTTGAATAGACTGATGCAATGGTCGGAGAAGTGGCAGATGCAGTTTAATATAGATAAATGCAGAGTTTCAAAATGTTGGACAGGAAAATAACCATGCCACATATAAAGTAAATAATGTAAATCTTAATACTACTGATTGCAAAAAGGATTTAGGAGTTCTGGTTAGCAGTAATCTAAAACCAAGACAACAGTGCATTAGTGTTCGCAATAAAGCTAACAGAATTCTTGGCTTCATATCTAGAAGTATAAATAATAGAAGTCCTAAGGTTTTTCTTCAACTCTATATATCCTTGGTTAGGCCCCCATTTAGACTATGCTGCTCAGTTCTGGTCACCGTGTTGCAGAATGGATATAAATGCTCTGGAAAACGTACAGAGGAGGATGACAAAGATGATCCCACATATCAGAAATCTTCCCTATGAGGATAGACTGAGGGCCCTGAATCTGCATTCTCTCGAAAGGCATAGAATTAGGGGGATATGATTGAGGTGTATAAATGGAAAACAGGAATAAATAAAGGGGATGTAAATAACGTGCTGAAAATTTTCAGCCAAGACAGGACTCACAGCAGTGGTTTCAAGTTGGATAAATTGAGATTCAGGAAGGATATAGGAAAGGACTGGTTTGGTAATAGTTGTGGATGAGTGGAATAAACTCCCGAGTACAGTTTTGAGGTTAAAACATTGTGTAGTTTTAAAAATAGGTTATATAAATACATGAGTGGGTGTGGGTGGGTTGAGTTGGACCGGACTAGCTTGTGCTGCTGGGTCTGGTGCCGTGCTCCTTCCTTGAGTGGAAGTGACCAGACTGTGGGGGGTCATTGGGCTAATCCGGGGGGGGGAGACATGAACCTGCTCTGCATGGGCCAGTGGGCCTGTTACAGTGTTCCTTCTTTCTTATGTTCTTATTTCCCTATAGTATTCGACTGAAGAAGCCTGCTTCACAGGCGACAGGTGCCACCAATAAAGGTGGCACGTGTGACTTGTTTATAAACTCATCTCTGTTGTATATTTCATAAATAATATGGAAAATGCTGTATATTTTCCGAAAATACAGTGTAATTTGTATGTAAATTGATGGAATGTATTAAGAAGGCGAGAACTTGAGAAGACGAGTAGACAGGACAGTCAGGGAACCCCAGCCATGTCATGTCTGTACATTTATGTTGAAATTCTGGCCAGTATTTTCTTCATATTTTAGGCAGGGGGTTTGTGTATGACACATCAAGGAATCTCCAGACTAATTGGCGAGTGTTATTAAGATAAATTCTCCTTCAATGTATATGTATTCATTTTTTAAATTTAATATACAGTCCACATATTTATGTTAGTGTTTTACCAGAATTCCTGGTGATGTATATTTCATTTGAGATTAATATAGGTCCAGAGTGACTTGTGGAAGTATGACAGTAGTAGGTATCGAAGGAGGACATTTTTTGCGACCTAGGATGTCCTAAAATTCTTAAATGTCTCTGTAACCTTGATAAAGAATAATTATCTTTGTTACCATTTACTGGTATGTATCTTATGAGGTTCATCCAGCTAATTTTAATTTTCCATAAATATTATTTATTTATCTTTTAAATTGTAGCACCTTTCCTCTGACTCCACTATAAAAGTATCCATCCTCTTGTTTCTGTTTTAGATTTATCAAGGCTAAGATACACAACACTTCTTAAAATGTTGAGAGACTTTACACCAAGAAATTACCACTCCATTACTTCCACTTGCTCCAGTCTTTATGCTTTGGACTGGAAGAGCCGCTGGTTGCCTCAACATATCAATATTTTTTGCAGGTGTCTTATTGTTCAACTTTTCGCTACTGTATACCTTTTGAGTCAAGAAACTTTATATTCGAGGGATTTTGATGTCACTTGTTAATAGTATAAATCGGAACGAAAAGTGTGATTGCAACACTGAAATCATGCAACGCTTTCTAAGTACGGGTTTGAAATTTTTTCCAGCCAAGGTATTGTGATAATATGCTCTTTCTTACTGTTTCTAATACGTTTTTGTTTGGCATATTCTAAGACCTTTTTATTCTTATTACATTTGCTGTAATTTTTATAGTTTTTCCTTTGAATATGATGTAAACAGTTTTCGTTTTTTACTACTTACGAGGGATTGTAAAACGCACACTCCCAGGCCTACACCAGAACTTCTTCATATCTTAATTCCTCATTCCACTTACTAAGGGATTAGGGTAATTTGTTTGGTTACTTTTGGATTGTGAGGAATTCGCCTTTTGGACAGAGGCTGTCAATAATTCCACGAGTCCTTGAAGCCTCAGATAAGACTTAAAAAAAGTGTAACTAAATAGTGTTACTTGCCCAATAAAGGTTATTAATATAATGAAATCACATGCTATCCTGCCAAGGTGAGGAACCTAACTTTATCTCATGGACGCCATGAATCATGAAAGGGAAAGCTGACAGATAATTTATTTGACAGGAACGCTGTCTGGACTTACTGGACTGGGAAACATTGGCGGATTTATAGCTCCTATAATCACCTCCCACCTGATCTCCCAGGTGAGTCTTACTGCTAAAGTTTCCTCTTATCTCCTAGGTGAGGCTATAACTACCTTCTGGCCTATTTCCCAGGTGAGTGTAGCTGCAAAGGTCGTCTCCCGGGTAATGCTAGCTGCTGTCACCTCTGTCTTACTCCTTTCTGAACTAATGTTTTGCAGTTCGCCGACCCTCCCGGAATACGAAGTGTCCTTGAATATTAGACCTGGATGTTTTCTGGTTTGTTATGCCTCGCCCGCCTATTACAACTCGTCCGATTCACCTCAGAACTTCGGTGAATCGGACACTGGTCTAAGGTGTTCGTCTCGTTTCGATATATACAGACTCGCCTCTTATTTTTTTCTTCTTCTCTACAGACATTTAAAGTTCTCTTATCTTTATCTACTTTTATTTATTTTCATACACAATAAAACTGTTTATATCTTTCTCCATATGTAACTTTAATCAGTCATTTGGTTCAATGATAAATGGGAAAAATACTCTTACTCTAGAGAATTTCTTAATTCTCCTTATCTCTTATTAAATTCTGTAGGAGTTTGTCATATATTTTTTTTGATAATCGTTGATATAGTACCATTTAATAAAATTTTAAATCTGATATTTTCATATATTTTCTAGTTTATAAAAAAACATTGAAATCAATGATAAAATATTTTGTCACTTTCTCAATATTAGGAAAGGATAATGCGATTTTTATTATGTAATAAATGCATTATAGTATCTTAATCAGTCATACTTATTTACATAATTTGCTGGTTTCTTTTTCTGTCTCATAAACACGCTAGATAACAGGGATATCTTGCTACTCCTACTTAGGATCGACACCATGCCTAACCCTTCTAGGGTAGGGTAGGTGCCTGAGCCCGAGCCTCTAGCTCATAAGACTGTCATTCCCATTAGCCCCCTTGGGGCGGGGATGGCAGACCAGAGAGGCCTAGCTTGTGGCTAGGCCTGGGGACAGTTGGTTCCAAAGATGAGGAGGTACTTGTGCCTCCTCCCATGGGAGACTTAGGTCTCAGACACTCCCTAGAGAGGGAGCCAAGGCCGGGCCACCACTTGGAAAAGGCCCGGGCCGGGAGAATACCGGCTAATCTTTAATAATAAATAATAACTCCTACTTACACTTTGGTCACACTTCACAGACACGCACATGCATATATATATATATACACATACATCTAGGTTTTTCTCCTTTTTCTGAATAGCTCTTGTTCTTCTTTATTTCTTCTATTGTCCATGGGGAAGTGGAAAAGAATCTTTCCTCCGTAAGCCATGCGTGTCGTATGAGGTAACTTAAATGCCGGGAGCAATGGGCTAGTAACCACTTCTCCTGTAAACATTTACTAAAACAGAGAAGAAGAAAAACTTTATAAAACTGGGATGCTTGAATGTGCGTGGATGCAGTGCGGATGACAAGAAACAGATATATTGCTGATCTTATGAATGAAAAGAAGTTGGATGTCCTGGCCCTAAGCGAAACAAAGCTGAAGGGGGCAGGCGAGTTTCGGTGGGGAGAAATAAATGGGATTAAATCTGGAGTATCTGAGAGAGTCAGAGCTAAGGAAGGGTAGCAATAATGTTGAAGGATCAGTTATGGAAGGAGTAAAGAGAGTATGAATGTGTAAATTCAAGGATCATGTGGATTAAAATAAAGGTTGGATGCGAAAAGTGGGTGATAATAAGCGTGTATGCACCTGGAGAAATGAGGGGTGTAGATTAGAGAGAGAGATTTTGGGAGATGTTAAGTGAATGTATAGGAACCTTTGAACCAAGTGAGAGAGTATTTGTGGTAGGGGACCTGAATGCTAAAGTAGGAGAAGGTGCGGGATTGCCAAAACTGTTGTCCAGAGGGCTGAAGAAGGGTTGTTGAGGTGGTTCGGACATGTGGAGAGAATGGAGCGAAACAGAATGACTTCAAGAGTGTATCAGTCTGTAGTGGAGGGAAGGCAGGGTAGGGGTCGGCCTAGGAAAGGTTGGAGGGAGGGGGTAAAGGAGGTTTTGTGTGCGAGGGGCTTGGACTTCCAGCAAGCATGCGTGAGCGTATTTGATAGTGAATGGAGACAAATGGATGTTAATACTTGACGTGGTGTTGGAGTGTGAGCAAAGTAACATTTATGAAGGGATTCAGGGAAACCGGCAGGCCGGACTTGAGTCCTGGAGATGGGAAGTACAGTGCCTGCACTCTGAAGGAGGGATGTTAATGTTACAGTTTTAAACTGTAGTGTAAAGCACCCTTCTGGCAAGACAGTGATGGAGTGAATGATGGTGAAAGTTTTTCTTTTTCGGGCCACCCTGCCTTGGTGGGAATCGGCCAGTGTGTTAATAAAAAAAAAATTATATTTAATGTAAATGAATGAAAAAAAGGATGCACAAATTCCCCTTTCCAGAGAGAGACGGAGAGGGGAGGGGAGAGACGGAGAGGGGACGGAGAGGGGCAGAGACGGAGAGGGGCAGAGACGGGGAGAGGGAGAGACGGAGAGGGGACGAGAGGGGGCAGAGACGGAGAGGAGAAGGAGAGGGGGCAGAGACGGAGAGGGGAAGGAGAGGGGGCAGAGACGGAGAGGGGACGGAGAGGGGGCAGAGACGGGGCAGAGACGGAGACCTAGTAGGATACTAATGTAGAATGATTTAGAAAAAAAAACACAAGCAAACACTAGGTCTTATTAGGATACGTATCGGTCGTGTGACCTTGATCCCTCCCAGTGTTTACTATCTCTGTACAGCAACTTGTGGGTATTTATTACCAAGGTTTATACTAACAATCTAGTATAACCCCAGAAACTTTTATTAACTAACAAATATTCTAACTTTTCTAACTAGATTAAGGGAAAGATATTTCCTTGGAAGTCGTTACCAGTGGTAACTTTTTCTGTAATATTGCTGATGTAAATCGTATTATTGTGGCATTCGGTTAAAAGATATGAAGTCATTGTAAATGGCAAAATGGTGGAGTATACAATGATAATATCCACTAAGACCAAAAGAAAGAAAAAATCCTGGAAGGGGTGACAGTGTGACTCTTTCAAAAATTGACCTCGAAATGCGTTCTAAAGACGTTTGATTGATGCACTTAAATCATCAAGGAAAATATTTAAAACTTTTGATCCAAGGAGATAAGACTAAGTTGGCATCAATTCTTAAATGACTAATATCCTCAATATTTTAAACTTTGAAGAAACTCATCCATGATACATAAGGTTAATCTCGTGTTAATTGCTTTTAACATTCTTAAAATATATTACACCATGCAATGGTTACCCACCATTTAAAACCCATAACTACCATGTGAAGGCCACACATGACTCCATGTAACAATATTGAGATATTCTCCCTCTAAAACAGTGTCTTCAAAATACATTCAAAACAGAGTCTTCAAAATACATTCAAAACAGAGTCTTCAAAATACATTCAAAACAGAGTCTTCAAAATACATTCAAAACAGAGTCTTCAAAATACATTCAAAACAGTCTTCAAAATACATTCAAAACAGAGTCTTCAAAATACATTCAAAACAGAGTCTTAAAAATACATTCAAAAACACTTTCATTTTGAAAAAAATATAGATATTTTCGAAAACTTTTTCTTCATATATATAATTTTTCACTGAAACTGAAGTTTTTACTTTCATTACTTTCTCTAACTTTCCCTCTGAGAAAGTTGTTCCTGAAACACTCTTGTAACATATGAAAACATAAGAAAAATTAAAAGGCATTGCCATTTCTAAAAGAATTTCGACTTTGTAACCAAAAATTACATTAATACTGTTATTTCAGCAACTTAAGCAAATATTCCTACCAAATATTATGAAGTAGGAAAATACTCAGAGAATATCTTATTGCAATAATTTTATATTGATTATTATCCCTGGGTAATACCATTTATTTCAAATTATTATTAATCCATCATAACACATAAAATATATACAAAAAGTTGTCCTCTCATTAAGGTCTATGAAACAAAAAAAAAAAGTTGAGAAATTTTATAGGCATTAATCCATTAAAAATTATTTACGTAAATTTTAAAGCGTATATTGAAAGGTTTGATTCGAGGAACTGGTGGAAAGAAGCATCTTAAAATGTGAAAATATTGGAGAGTGCGTGGTAATATTGGAGAGTGCGTGGTAATATTGGAGAGTGCGTGGTAATATTGGAGAGTGCGTGGTAATAAATTTGGGGAGTGCGTGGTAATATTGGAGAGTGCGTGGTAATAAATTGGAGAGTGCGTGGTAATATTGGAGAGTGCGTGGTAATATTGGAGAGTGCGTGGTAATATTGGAGAGTGCTGGTAATATTGGAGAGTGCGTGGTAATATTGAGATGTGCGTGGTAATATTGGAGAGTGCGTGGTAATATTGGAGAGTGCGTGGTAATATTGGAGAGTGCGTGGTAATATTGGAGAGTGCGTGGTAATATTGTAGAGTGCGTGGTAATATTGTAGAGTGCGTGGTAATATTGTAGAGTGCGTGGGAATATTGTAGAGTGCGTGGTAAAAATTGGAGAGTGCGTGGTAATATTGGAGTGCGTGGTAATATTGGAGAGTGCGTGGTAATATTGGAGAGTGCGTGGTAATATTGGAGAGTAATTATGTCGGGTAATGGGAACAAGCCCATTATCTGTCTTAGTGCTAGGGGTAATGACATAGGGAAGGGCAGGAGACAGGAGCTGCTGGATAGGTACAGGTCGGCCATAGAAGTAGTCAGGTCTAAGAGAGGGATCCATAGTCATACGTAGCATCTTGCCTAAAATGGGAGTAGACAATGAGTGGATGTCTGGGGCAATTAGTATAAATTGCTGGCTAGACAGGTACTGCAAGGAAATTGCAATCCCATTCATCGATAACTGGGACAAATTCTATGGCAAACGCGATATGTACGCAAGGGATGGGGTTCATCTCTCTGCGCTGGAGTGGTTGCATTAGCCAATTCGATTGACAGGGTAATTGATGACTTGTCTAGGACTTTAAACTGATAGATTATAGAGGTATGGGTGTTTGTGGGAAACAAAC